CAGAAGAAATCGTTAGCACAAACTGCTAGACCTACAGTGGCAAAACCAATCGCAAAACCTTCGCCACCGCCAAAACCACAGCCGAAGGAGAGGTCATCGGAGGACGACGATGTTCTCGAAATCGCTCACCCTGTGATAAGGTAAGTTTTAGGTCATGGTCTACCCGAGGAGATAATTTCTAAGCCTTTAAGAAAAGCATCAACCATTCAAAAGCTATCCTTTTCAAGTAGGTAGAGCATTGCATGTCAACAAGGTCGTTCCACCAATTCTAGCAGTGTGGCCCTGTGATCACAGTCCGCTTCGATTTTGAAGCATTTGAATCACTGTTTATCAACCGAATGTTTTTAAGCGCTGCTATCCATCTTCATGAGAGCCCAGCATCAATGGAACTGGGTCGTCCAGCAAGCCCAACAACTTCACTGAGAGCTGCTCCGCCTGCTCACGCTGATGTCGGCCCGCCCGGTGAAAGGTGATTTTCAGAAGACTGGTCGCACTATTTCACACGCATTTTTTTGAGTATGAAAGTTGGACTTGCACGGTACAAACATTTCTTTGCAATATTCATACTGAGATCCATACTAAAAGAGATCCGGCTCTCGGTGTGTTGATATACATAGTCGGAAATTGATTTGGAGAGCTCTTAAGCATATGGGCTTACTTCACTAGAATTGAGTTAGATTAAGATTAATTTCGCAAGTTGGACGGAGCCGCTCACAGTTCTCAAAAATATACCATTTTTGTGGCTGGTGCATGGGTCATGGTAGCGCTCAGGCCTTCCCATTTGCGCCTTGTGTCGGTCACTCTACAGACGGAGTGCGTGCATTTCGCCTGATCTCAGCCCTCATATATTATATACATCGCCCCTTTCTCATATACTCTCGCAGTGCACTCAATCACGTCGGACATGTGTCCACCGCGAAAAATGGTAGCACTCAGTTTTTGTGGTTTCCGACGGTTTTCTTCAGTGATGCTCCTTTTGCACTTCTAGTTCCATTTCCGTGTGAACATCCACGCAAGTTGTGGATATACCTACTGGAAAGGAAATGTGGAAAAAGATTGTAATTGGATGTCTACGAAGCGAAAATATACTCACCAAGAAGGGGACGTCCCCTTACCAGGAAGGTCTTTCAGGGCGTGCCAAGCTTTTTGAAAACGGTCTTTTGCATGATATAGGGGCACATGCGGGAACCACAGAACCATGGTTAATTTTTCCTGAACGGCCCTCTGAATACCAGAAAAGGGGTCCCTAGTTCGATTCCTCGTGGTGACAAATTTTTGCATTTCGAGTTGACGTTCCAAAATTCGCGCAAAATGGAGTTAGCATGAATAATTAGTACCATATTCATGATTAGGACCGTCAGTAACCCTTACAAATAAACTTTGATTGAAAACTCCATTTTGCGCGAATTTTGGAACGTCAACTCGAAATGCAAAAATTTGTCACCACGAGGAATCGAACTAGGGACCCCCTTTTCTGGTATTCAGAGGGCCGTTCAGGAAAAATTAACCATGGTTCTGTGGTTCCCGCATGCCCCTATATCATGCAAAAGACCGTTTTCAAAAAGCTTGGCACGCCCTGAAAGACCTTCCTGGTTAGGGAGCCAGTCTCCCTTTCCAGTAGGCATATCTCCGCTTCATGGACGTCTGATTTATCGTGCAATCCTTTCGATCCATTAGATTGTCTGAAAAATACGATGTCCTATTTCTCGGCCCTTCCCAGTCTTCGAATGCCGTTTTGGGAGTGAAATACTTTACGAACAATCATCAAATATCTAGGAGTAGTTGGCTTTCAATTAGATTAGTGCGTTGCAGATCTCACGGAGTGAACGGTCGGGCACCAGGAACCATTATTGGAACGCGAAAGCTTCCAGAGGTCAACACCATGAAAACACCATCTCCAAGTAAGTGCTTGAGTTTCCGTGGATTTAAGGAATCTTGTGAAAGTTTTGTTAATTCGTTAGGCCCAACATCAACGACGACAACGCCATCCACGACCACACCTACCAGGAAGACAACGACATCCGAGCCAAACAACAGGAGGAGAGGGTGATTGTTACGTTATTTTTCAACGAAGCATTCTGCACAAACTTGTACAGGGGATACGAGAATGTCAAATTGTTTAGGTGGATCTTCCGTCTCAGTTCGGCTCGCGCTCTCCATCCAACCAAGTATCCCTGAGTGAACTTGTGAGATTCGATGATGATTATGAGGAGACAACCACTATGCCAACGACCACTCGACGCCGCTTCGTGTACGTCACAAAGAAACCCAGACATTACTTCATCTAGAGCGTAATTATGAGGAATAAATGCGATCATTTTCACTCCATTCATTAAACCACACTCTTGATGTGTCAGTTAGTTTGAGTTTATTTACGTCGGTTCGTCTGTTCGTTTGCAGAAGCCTGTGGATGTGATAAGGTTATGGATGGTAGCAGAATTCGCAATGTTCTGATGCCATGATTGTGAAAACCATTCCCAAACAAATAAACAAATTAAAGTCAACTTACGAGGAAGTTCTTTCAGGAAGTTAATGGCTCTCTCGAAACGGATTCTTACGCCATAAAGGGGTGCAAGCATAAAACACAGAACTGTAGTATATTTCTTCCTGAGCAGCCCTTTGAATCAAAAAAATGTTGATGAAGTGGTACGTAGTTCAAATCTTCGCAGTGACTATTTTTTGCATTTGTGTTGGCGTTTCAAAATTAGTGTCAGCGTAAACAGCTCATGCCACACTATAACTGGGACATTCAGCAACCTTTATACGTAGCACTTGGCTAAAAAACGTTAGAAAAAGTAAAGACGGCAGCTCGTGAGGGATTTCTTCGCACCTATCTTTGGTATTCAGAGAATCGCTTGTTCCAAGGGTTTTCGTGTTAGAGGCGAAATTCGCGATGGAAAGATAGCATACTAAAAGTCTATAATGCTCAAATAAAGTGCTCAACGTTGCGAGGGCAAAGAAAGAAAAAAGAAAA